GGGGTTTTTAGGGTTTAGGTTTTGAGAAAGGTCCTCCCCCCTGGTTGTGGGATTTCCTGCCACAACGGCGGATCAAAATCGGAGAGAAGGGCATTGACGACGGCATTTTGTCTAGATACGAATCGTTTTGGGGTGACACATCGGGGTAGAAGGGTAAACAAGTACTAATTTGGAGTCTTGGTGATAAAAATGCGTCACCATTTGTGACCTCAACCCGCTTGCACTTTGTTTCAGATGATTAATTTGATGGAAGCAACTTACACGAAAATAATAAATTGTGTGTATAAATATAGAGTAACTTAATGGTGCTGAACACTCCGTTAACCCTACTCCACGATGCAATTTCATGATCCAAACAGTTCATTTTTTAAGTCCTCATTCAAGGATTATTCTTGCAAAATTTCAACCAAATCAAAAATCGTTTAGGCAGTTGATCATGACCGTGGACATTTTATTATTTTATCATCGCACATTGCAATTGCTCTGAAAGCTACACTGACAGTTTTACACAATCCACAATCCCAAACGCAACACATTGCAATTGCTCTAAAATCTTAAACATAATGTGAAAACTAGGGCTATGAGACGAAATCAAAATATAAAATAAAAATAAAAATCCAAACAACCGTTAAAAAAAAAGGCTTGAAAAACTAGGCTTGCTGAAAAACGCTTAAGCCCTAATATCCAACCAATATACATAACAAAAAGTTCTAGAATTTATTTACAAACGTGCTGCACATAAAGAGCTATGTCGAAAATAGACTGCAGACAGAAGATGGCAAGTTGAGAAAATGATCTGTACCCCTGCATTATTCTTATTTATCTACTGCACTATATCATAGCATTTCTTGAGCCAAAAATGATTTACAGAATGAATGATCAAATATCAGAATACAACCGAACTAAACGTAACGAATCAAAGGGTGTGTTCAATTGCCACTCCCGCTGCTTTTTGCTAAGTGGTCTCCCTTTTCCTGCTTTTTCTCTATTAATCCTTACGTCTGCTAAACCCCAAACGCAACACTTTGTTTCCACATCAAAAGAAACAAGCCTGAAAACACCATCATTTTCTGAAATTAAGCCTGTTTCAGCTGTCTCACTGAAATATTTCACATACATAGGTCGATCTTTGAACCGATCCAACTCATGTGGAACCCGAACTATCCTTTCAACACCTGGAGATGACACCTGAGAGTAAACTTATTTCTTTAGACCCACAAGGTAGAAAACACAAACAATTAGGGAGCACCAAATTTAGAAGTTTCAGCTTCACAGCTTTAGCCATGGTGGTAAAAACCTACCCAACAAGTTGGCATTATAAACTGAAGCAACTGACCACTGCCCTTATCTAAAGGTTTTATGCCTATCTACATTAAAAGGTTCAGACCCATCTTTGCCTTTCAGTTGCCCATAGTACGTACAGCAATGGGGCAGCTAGACTCATTTGCCCCCCACCCACCCCACTACCCTTCATATTTCATGGAGCATTAATAATCTATGACGGTATGTCTTCCCCATCACATAAAATAGAAAAAAGACGAACAATACAAAACAGAGAAAGGGTATTAGAAACTGAAGAGAGAGAGAGTAGAAGCAGACCTCCAGAGATAAATTCTCAGGAAGTGATTTAGCAAGCTCTGCTTCATCCAGTCGTGCTCTATAGGTTCTTGAAAAAGCTTCAATGTCTTCCATACTTGGGGAGCCAGATCTGTAGTACATCCATGTGGTTTGAGCTCAAAAGGCATTCATATGACAGCTTACACAATTTGTGAGGAGAGACTTATTAACAGACAGATTTGATTTTTTCTACCAATAAGAAAACGTAAAAAGAAACACACATGAGAAAATTTAACAACAGCTGCATGAAAAGCTTCCACATTAGTTATTAGACTAGTGGTCCGATTACTAGATGCATGAAAAGCTCCCAAGTTTTATACGGTAGCACTACCTCTTGTGTACCCAGGAGAACAATAAGTTCAGAAAAAAAAAAACTTAATTATTAAGAGATGTCCAGATAGTGCCTTTCAATAATTTAAACTTTTTGGTAACCTAAACATATTAACAGAGTCATATTGTCTAAAAAGTGGTACAAGTCTTAGTTCTGGCGACTTCTATTTTGCACATGTAATTTCCAGTTTGGTGAAGTGTTAAGTGTGCTGTTAAGTTGTGATTGATATGCATTGTTATCCCATCTCCTAATAGCTTAGGCTTTTTAGATCAATTGCCCTGCTCTTCAAATATATGTACATGAAACATTTAGGCCAAAAGTTATCCATTTTCAAATAAACCCACAAATAAGCTGTTTACCATTTGATAAATTATAATGCATAAGATCCCCAATTATCCAAGTAATATCTTCAAATTGCTATATGTTATTTTTTGAACCACATGCAGAAACAAATGACACGTTTTGATCCACTTCTTGATCATATCCACCATCCAGATTGGAAATGGATTTGCATAAAAGACTGCTCACAAAGAGTTATTAGATAGAATAGAGGAAGAGGTTTGTGAAGGAAAAGGCAATCTGAAGACATCTTTGCAAACAAAACATAGAGATCTGTGTGCACAATGCAACACCATCTCCCTAAAAGCTCAAACCCATCAAACCTGTAATTTTGATAGAAACAGCATACATATAGTTTCATGATATGCTCTTACACATGGAAAGCACAGAATCTGCATCACATACTAATGTTATAAAATTGAAAATTAGCAAGCCTTCAAAAGTATTCGTCGCATTTAATTTTGGGTTTGATGATTACCTATTCGAAAGCTTCTCAATGCGCACTTGGATGGTGAAATTTGGCAACGTTTTAAATGCGTATATTTTCAGGTCACCATCAAAGGACAGAATAACTTCTTCAGCTATTTCTAATGCTTTGTTATCCCACCATACCCCAGCAAGAGAAATTCCACCTCCTCCGCCTCCATCTCCAGCCTTTGAAATGAAGCAAAAGATTGTTAGGATAAATCTCTAAGATTACCAAGCGGCGATAATAACTCATACACACTACTCACATAGAGTTCAGCGGACTCTTCTTCGTAGTAATCATCACCCTCATCATCCATTGATACCTCTGTGTGATTAAGAATTCACTCGAACATGAAACATTTCTGACCAAACTTTGCAGTAATAAAATAGGATAAGAAAGTGAAAACATTTCTCATTACTCAGATGCTAGAACACCCATTAAAGCATAATCAACAAGTCACCATTATACTAACTAGCTTTTCTGGTATAAAACAATATAAGAACTCGAAAAAATATGACAAAGATTTATAATGACATGAGAAATTTAATGGCAAAGACATGTACAAAGACAAATTCAAGAACCCAGAACATCCAAAGGAAAGTTCTAAACCACAGATATCTTATCAGAAAAAGAAAAGAAAAGGAAAAATAGGAAAATTTTCCATAAATACCATCTTCTTCGAAGTCATCCAAGATAACGTCGTCGTCGTCTTCGTCGTCCTCTGAAACTTCTTCGATAATGGTTGGTTTGATAAGTGGCTCAGGCTCTGAGTTTCGCTTGCGGGCGTGAAGTGCAGGGGACTTGTTTGGGATAAAGGGAAATGGGTAAGCCCAGAATTGGCAAGAGAGCTTAGGAGGAGGTGAGAGAGAAGCGCGCTGCAAGTGGGTTCTACTTCTCCTAGTGATGACTGGTGACAAAGAAATTGCAGAGGCTCTCAAATTCCATGCTGTGGTTAAGTCCATCTAGTTTTGTTTCTTCTCAGAATTTAATTGAATTTGCCTTCGACAACGAGAAAGCGAATACAAAGTTGAGGAATTGAGTGAGTGCGTTTGAGAAGCTGGACCGCTCGAGCTTCGGCAACAGTGAAAATGCGTCCGATTGCCCCCAAAATAAAAACAAAACAAAAAATTCAAAAAAAATGTATCAAGAAAAACTCTATTATCTATATGGAAAATGCTAGAGGCACCAATTATGGGCACTATCTTAGGCACCAACTCTTTAATAGGTGTGGAGCCCGTCACCACTCTTTTTAAATAGGATTAGATACTTTTTTGGTCACTGAATTTTATAAGAAATTTTAATTTGATCATTGATAAATAAATTTAGCCAAATTAATCATTGCATTATCAAAAGTTTACAATTTTCAGACTTGCAGTTAGTTTCCCTTAAGTTGTTGGGTTAAATACTTTTTTAAGGTTTCCCCAATGAGGTCTCTAAAAGGGACTCAGCAACCATGGGAGCCATATTTACAGAGCCCAATGCAAAAGATGCAACACCAATGGGATGCATTTGAGGCTCTAAATACTACATCAGCTTTGACACATCGGTTGGAGTGTGTGAGATGTTATTTCTAGCTGTTAAATGTCTATGTGGTACTTTTGACATATTGGTTGGAGATGCTCTAAGGTGGTGCCCAAAGTTGGTGTCTCTAGCACCACTCTTTTTAAATAGGATTAGATACTTTTTTGGTCACTGAATTTTATAAGAAATTTTAATTTGATCATTGATAAATAAATTTAGCCAAATTAATCATTGCATTATCAAAAGTTTACAATTTTCAGACTTGCAGTTAGTTTCCCTTAAGTTGTTGGGTTAAATACTTTTTTAAGGTTTCCCCAATGAGGTCTCTAAAAGGGACTCAGCAACCATGGGAGCCATATTTACAGAGCCCAATGCAAAAGATGCAACACCAATGGGATGCATTTGAGGCTCTAAATACTAGAGCCCACTTTAGTTAGCCCTGGATATAAAGACCCTACTAGAGCCTAAGAGCCCGAATAGGCCACAATTACTGTCAAAAGCTGGCCCAAAAGTCAACTTTATCATTACACTGTTTAACTTGTTTTCTTTAATATTATTATTATTTTAATACAAACCCGCAGCTAGTGCCATGCAAAATCATTTTTTTTACTTTTTTAAAAAGAAACTAAGGTCATATAGCCGTTGGTGATGCATAGTAAAAGCTGATTTTGAGCCCAACGACTCAATTTGATCAAATGATTGTTGTGAGATATAATATTATCATATGGAATATGGATAGATTTTCATAATGAATATGAACTAACTTTATCTACTGTCATAATGTTCCGAGTAAATGAGAAAGTGATGGAAGATCATAATGAATGAGAATCAAATTCATCTACCATCATAATTTTATGACAAAAGTAGATGAGAAAGTGATAGAAGGCTACTAAATAAATGTTGTTTTATTTTTTTAACTTTGTTGGCACTAAAAACTGAACAGATGGAGATGAGTGCAACTTACAAATGGGATGGACGATCAAGAGATCGATTGAATATTGGATGCCGATTCTTCCTGTCCTTGGATGCTGATCCTGAATAGAAAGAAGTCGAGACTCGTAAGGTCTATGGAACCGGTGTGGAACCAGCCTAAGACCCTCCGATGCTGAAGTAAGTTTGTTGTTTTAAGAGCTCTTGCTGTTGACCATATAGAAGTATAAAAGTCAAGCTGAAAAGTCTTACCCCTGCATTGTAGTGGAGGGGCCTATTTATAGAGGGCATTTAGTATGCTCTTAGTACTCATTTCCGATGTGGGACTCGTGGGAGGGCCCTAGGAGGTTGACACGAGTATTTAGATATTTCTGGCGGGTGCTTCGAGGCTGATTCTGTAGAATCGGTATGTAATACCGATTGTAGGCTGTGTTGGGCCTGCAGCGGCTGTTCGTGGCTTTGAGGCAATGCCATCGGTGGCCGATGCCGATTGTCCGAGGACTTGGGTACTTGGGCGAGTTTATGAGATCCACGTGTCGTTGCACGAGTGGAGGGTCAGATATGGTACAAACAGTAGTCCCCCAAGTTGCCG